TTTTTTTTTTTTTTTTTTTTTTTTTTTTTTTTTTTTTTTTTTTTTTTTTTTTTTTTTTTTTTTTTGCAAAACCAAGGATTTTATACTATTTAAGAGTCGAAACTGTTTACAAATTTCGCAATTAGGTGGCGTTAAGAATTAAAAAGTGGATATTTTCTAAATAATCATCATTTTAGGCAACAACATGTAGTCAGAAAGTATAGATGACAGCAACTTGAAAATAATTCATTCAAAATGAAAAAAAAAAGTTAAAATTAAAAAAAAAAAGAATTTATAACGCAGTGTTTTGAGTCAGCAGTGCCATCAGTTTGAAACTCCTTAAGAATTAATACTTGATTTATTTAGCTAAACTCTACAAACCATACATTTAAATTTCCTTTTAATAAAATAATAAAGTAATAATCCATAATAAAAAGAAATGTTTGTCTGTGTGTCTCATTTGTAACTCCTGAACCACTTGTTCTGGAGTTATTAATTCTGGTGCTCGTTCTGCAGTTTTTTCCGGAGTTACTCTGAAATTTAGAAAGCATCAAAAAGGGACAATTTCACCCTTAATCCAAAACAATCACTCAAAAATTTCAATTGCAATGTTGAAAATTTGAAAAAAAGAAAAAAGAAATTTTTTCATTGGTTTAAGACCCTCTATTGATAAAATATAAATCAATAATCAGCATGAGCGTCGTAGTATAGTATTAATTAGTATTTTAAACCGCCTGTTTATTTTTCTAGTGTTATGATCGTAAAATGTGTTTCCATAAAACTAAACAATTTAAAATATTTTGATAATAGGTACTAATTGAACTAAAAAACATATATAAAAAAAGCAAAATTAATGGAGAAATAGTACTTCACTTAGAAGAAACGTAAAAAAATCTTTATACTATTATTCACGCCAATGATTTTTGAAAAACAACTGATATAATGTCTGTTGGTTTAGTTTTAATGGATGCTAATTGTACTAAACTACAGGGTGATTCTAAAAAGATGGGCAAAAATTTTAGGAAGTGATAGTGCACACCCAAGCAAACAATTTTTATCAAAGAATGCATGGTCGAAAACAAAACCCAAAACCGCTAGAGGGCGTCAAAGTTTATGTTCTTATATGAGGCAAAAACACACAAAGAACGATGAAGTTAAGTTATAAAAGCAAATTTAATGGCATGTGATTACAATAAGTGTTCAAAACAGTGGCCGG